GTTTTTGCTTCAAGAGATCATAGACGCGAACATTTTTCTTTGTCGCAATGAAGAAGATGGAATGCATAGGATGAAAAGCTGTTGAGACTGGAAGTCCATGCAACTTAAAAGGGATTCTTTGGGTAAGCCTTTTAGACAGTTGATGCATGAGAATTGCTCTTGATTCGGGTAACACACAGTCATGGAAATCCAAGAAAATGACTAGGCCAAAAATCACTACTTAACAGAAACTTCTAAAGCAAGATTACAATCAAATTAGGACCTTTTTGACAATATATATATATATATATATGAAACTTTTAATTATAGAAGAAGAAACAAGCCAATAAAAATTAATCAATTAAATAAATGGATATCAGCTGGCATAACTGTTGAAAGATAGTCTCCTTTACGATGCCATTCCACTGAAGATACAGTCTGCAGGGGCTCCAAATGCAAGCAGTTAAATTCTTCCCAAGAAAATTCAATGCCACCTGACAACTTCAGGAACAGATGTACAGACATAGAAGTGGATTGCAAGAATACCTTAAAATGTTTTAGCCTAATTCCCTCATGCTTGTCATCTTGAAGCCAGCTCACAAGTGCATCATTACCTAGCATACAAAATTCAATATTAGGACAATTTTCAAGTTATAAAACATTTTCAAATAACCCTAATTTCAAACTGACCAGGTTCATCAGGTGCTTTAGGATTCTCGACATGCAAAAGCTCCTTAATCTTTTTCTGTTCTTCCTCATTCCCAAGTCCAGAATTTAAGATGAGTACATCCTGTCCCCTACAAAAGTCTTAGCAGGTGATTTCCGGGCTATGGAATCTAAACATTAGAAAGATCTAAGAAAGAACTAAGAATACTGGCAATGAGCCTTACCTAGAAACTGCCACGATGGGAAGCTCAGGCAAAGGGTTCCAAGCGACATGCTGAACAGCTTCTCCAACCTCCCAGACTCTAAGACATCTACCAGTCTCCACTTCCCAAATACGAATACTTCCATCAGTTGAACCTATGAAGAATAGAAGAGAGACAACAAGATCAACATCACACAAGTTCTTTCACGCCTTCAAAAGAAAACCTTTAACATCCAACCTGAAGCAATCCACTGTCCTGAAGAATGAGTAGATATTGACAAAACTGCACCCTTATGACCTCTGTACTCAAGATAGCATGTCATTGGGTAAGGCCTTAGATCTTTTCGGCTTGGTAACTTCGGCTTTAAAGATTCAGGATCAATGTTAATCTGAACACAAACAACAGGAACAAAAGTTCATCACATTAGTTAGATTCAGGCCATCAGAAGCAAAGTTGACAAATTCATCAGCATGTAACATAACAACAAAAAGATAAATTTGGACAAGCATGAAAAGCTTGCCTCTAGCTTTTCGTTAGTCTCTTGCTTACCCGCTTTTTCCTAACTCTTGGACACAAATACAGATCCAAACAGCGCTCAAAAGAGTCCTTCAAAGCATTCTCATAAGCCGTGATGCTTCTCAAAGATGTGAACCTAAGCATATTGAATTTGGTTAAGATGACAAATATTCAACTACCAAACAAGATAAGCAAATGAACACTCTGAAGCACATCATAGACACCTTTTAGGTATAAATTTTGGGCGGTCTTCCTCAGACATCAGCTGATAAGAATTGATCTCTTCTTGCATGGGAATATACTCCAAAGAAGGATTATATGATTCCTCGTGTCCTGAAAACCAATTTAATAGAAGCATTGAAAATAAATGATAAATTAAAAATGATAGCTGTAAGTTATGACTTTACATAAGAAGCCAGCTAAAAATTCATACCTGGCAATTTTGGCTTTGGTGC